GAGGAAAATACAGCCACATGGCTGTAGGAAGTGCTGATTTTCAAACCCACTTGGTGTGGTTTGCTGTTTTTCCCCACTAGGTTTTCTTGATCAGCTTGTCTTTGAACCACTGATTATTTTAGACAACTCTTCTTTGAAAGGTGATATATTCTCTGCTTGAATCTGTGGCAAATCCTCTCTCCTTGCCCTTATTTTCTGAACATAGACCTATTGAAAATGTCTCTAGAAAAGTTACCACATTTTTTTCTTGAAATGCCTAAGGAGAGCCAAATCTCTCTCCTTTAAATTGATTATGGTGTTCAGCAATTTAGATTGTGTTTAAATATCAGAAGAAGGCCGACGATGGCAAGGCTGGTTGAACTCTGAAGCATCTTCCTCTTTGTTTTGGCCAATATGTTGCTGATCAAGTTGATACCACAGACATGAGTTATTCATTCGTAGGAAGACAGCAGAGTGGATTGTGAAGAACTCAAGTCACAGGGAAGGACCCCCTGCGCCATTATCAGTAACTTTACCTAATCAGTATCCCTTACCTAATCTCAGCCCTTGAGAGTATAATTTCAATTAACCTCCTCCGAAGCTGCTCTAAGTGGGGTGGAAATAGCTTATTGTCATTTACTGTGTCAGAAACCTCCATACTTGCTGGGAGATAAGGATCCTTAGAGTAAATCATAACAAATTCTGTATCTTGATTGCTATTAAGGTATCTCGAGGACCAAAAGTGGCTCATCAATGAAATAGTGCTTGTGAAAATTTTAGAACAAAACCCAACAGTTCAAAGTGTGTTCTTCTTGGGAAAAAACTATTCCTAGAACTTAAATTCAGCCCTGCGCCCTGCACTGTCCCAATCCCTGTCACATAGAACAGGACAAAGGAAAGTGATAGAACAAGACCCAGGGAATGGGAACAAACCTAGCTATTGGCCTAGCCACTCCTGCTTAGCACCTGTCATTACTTCAGAGGAGAGGACACTCAGTCACTACCCAAACCTACTTCTGTGTAACAGCTGCTGTGTTGTTTCCATTTCATCCAATCACTTAGTAAGCTGTTTCCTGCTTATCCATGGTTGACTGGACCGTTCACAAATCCTCTTTGTTTGAAAGCCCCAGTTTAAGGCCCTATTCCATTACCATGCAACAGCCTCTACTGTCTGAGTGAAGGGCTCTAGCTGGTTGGGTCCCAGGTACCTGATGACATGAAATGAGGTGACAATTCCACAAAAGTGCTCTAAACAGGGGAATGACATTGCCCCTGTAAGAACTGGCAAAAAGATGCCACTCTTGGGGAATATTCTCACCAATGGATGCTGCTCACAGCCTTTGTTCATGCAGATGAGTCACACAGATCATCAAAATTCTCCAGAATGCTTTTAAAACATATAATTTCCTGTGCCCTGTCACCTGATAGTCTAATTCTGTAAGTTTGACGTGGCACCCAGGAATATATTTTCTAAAGCTTTGTAGATGATTGATTGCAGGAGCCTTTGACCTAAACAATTGATTCTTCCCAAAGGAATGATTTATCCTGAATAAATGGGGAAAGTTTTGAACTTTAATAGTTTATTGATCTATCTAAAAATGCATTCTTTTACAGGGCATCAGAGGGCTCTGATTTAGTTCTATGACTAGCCCTTATTAATTAGAAGCACTGACTGAAATTCGTGGGCCACATCCATGTCTTTACAGTCTCTTCTTAAGTTGCTTTAGTTTGACTCCTGGGCTGGTGGGCTGTATGAGTTGCAGCGGTATCTGATCAGCACTACCTCTCCCAAATCCCTCTGCAGCTCAGCCTCTCCCTTGTGACAGTCCTACCCAGGCCTGGAAGTGCAACGATGGCCTTAGTCTATTCTCTTGCACCCAGCATATGTCCCACCACATGTGGGTTATATACAATGTGCCAGGGGTGAGTGCTACATGATCCCTCTCTTTGAGCCTTTCCTTCCTTCCCCTAACATGCTGGCTTCTGTCTCAGTTTACTAGCCTAACATTCCAATTCTTCACTGGATCTGCAGCCTACCTTGTGTTTTAGCCACTACCTGTGCACTGACTCACTGCCTGAACCCTGGCCCTTTTCTCCTGTGGCCTGCTCCTCTGACTCTCTGCACTGACTGAGACTACAATAAGGACATGAAGTGAAGTGTTCTATGTAGCCACCGGACTGCCCAGGGTAAGGCCTATTGTCTAGCTGGGTGAGTCTGGGCAAGTGACCTAACCACTGCTTTGATCTTCATCTCAGTTTCTTTGCTTACCTAAGTTCTTTTTTTTTTCATTTTAAACACAAGGAAACAATAACATTTGACTCACAGAATCATAAGAATTAAAGAGACAACATGTGCCAGATATGTAGAAATGCTCAGTATTTGTAAGTTGCTTTCATTATAATTATTATTGCTTGCTCTGAGCCATAGAACCATTGCCTACCTGATTGCAATTTTATCATCTACATGAGTCCAGTTCACTGTATCTTTTGGACACTGTCCTTGTGCTGCCCAGCACTTCTGATCTCAACTGCTAGTTCCTCTTCTCCCACCAACTGTACAGACATTGGCTGGTTTTTGATAAATCTCTTGTGCAACCAGTTTCATTTATGACAATTTGTCCTCTTTATTTTTCCCCCTGACAGAATTATTTAAGTTCCTTCAGATATATAGCCTTTAATTTCCAACCGGTCATCTTGTTTCTTGTAATTTAAACCTTTTTTGAATTCTTTTCTTTTAGCTGCTTAAATCAAATGCAGATTAAGAAGGGAACAAAGTAGGCTGAGGGTAGTAGGGAGATAATGTGGGGTTTCCTACATGCTTTCTGCTTAATTTTCATTCAAGACCATGCTAGTGTGATGAGCCCCAGAATGCAGCTGTCCTTTGGTGGCTTAAAAGCTTATGCTCTTATGGGAGAATTTCCTATGTCTTATTACATTACTTTACCAAAATGAATAACATCTCCTCAAGCAACTGCTAAGGTATAAGGGAAGGCTTTATGAGAGACTGCTCAGTAGTGAGGATAATAATGATGGGTCAAGAGAGAAAGAGTATTGCTTTGTATTCACAAATATTTGATTAGTCTCCTTTTGTGTGTGTGTGTGTGTGTGTGTGTGAAAAGCATTGGTCTAGGTGCTTAGAAGAATATGTATGAATAAAACACAAAAATCGGTGTTATAGAAAGTTCCCAAAGGTGAACATAAAATCAATTGTTTTTCAATAAAAATATTTTTGTTAGCATTTGGAGGGCAGAAATATTTAAAGATGTATTAATAATTAAACCAATCAAGGATTAGGAATTATGACATTTTATAGCATGCTTGTTGAGGAAACATGTTAATGATATTTGAATTAGGAAAGAGACCAAGGGGTGGGAGGTGGAGAGGGAGGGAGGAGGTGCTGGGGAGTGATATTGGCCAAATTATATTGTTATATTGTGTGCATGTGTGAATATGTAACAACAAATCCCATAGTTATGCATAACTATAATGCAACAATGAAACTGTGGATAAAGAATAAAACTGGTTTTGATATTAAAAAATAAAAGAACAAGTTATAGGACTTAAAAAAAGGAGTAAATGTAATAAGCTTTGGCTTTGATAAGAAGTTTACACTTTCAAAAGATAGACTGAATATTGAAAGGCATTAAAATTTTTCCTTGTAGTTTGAAATTTTCTAGAAAATGTTGATGAGGCTGTGAGAGTCTAAGATAAATTGTATGCTATAAAATTTACAAGTGTTGTTTGACAGCAGTCATTCTCCAAGAAGTAATGGAAATCTCTTGAATTCTTCATTCGTTGGTGTTTCTCAGTGGAGCAGGAGCTATGTCCTTAAGAAGAGTTAGAGGGAGCAGTGGCAGGAAGGGTAGGAAAGCGTGACACTGGCTTGAAGATGGTGCTCTCCGCACACCTATGTGGCAGGGTTGCCTGGTGGGTGGAAGGGTTATGTGAGGACATTCTGTGGCAGAAAACTGAAAAAGGTACAGAAAGGAGAAGGTATTTCCTTTAACCTTTAAAAAAATGCAAAGTACTTTAGGAAGAGTCACATTTAAATTTTCTTATAAACATCTTAATATCATAGGAAAGAAAGCCACCTAAAATTGAATCTTAAAAGTGGTTCTATTTTAGTATATTTAAATTCCATATTAAAATGCTAGAAAGGAAAAAAAAAAGCACAGCTCTTAAAAGACATAGAGGGGAAAAAAAAGACAGAGAAAATTTAGAAATCCCCAGAGTGAATTCAGCAAACTGTTACTGAAAATCCAGCTTGTGTCCAGCACTTTGCAAAGACCTCTTGATTAAAAAAAGGAGGCTAAAGTCCATCTCTAGTTCCCAAAGAACACACGGTATAGTAAAAGGCAGGGGTAGGAGGTGGGAACCATTATACACAACACCAGATAAACACTGTTCAAGGTTATAGATGGTCTATAAGGTTAATTTCCTCAAATTTCAATGGTGGGGTTAGCTGGTTCTCAGTATTATCAGGTTTTCTCTCTTTTCCTCTTTTTACCTTTATGACATTTTTGGTGATCTTACAGTTTAATTTGTAAATCTTCTCAAATCCTTTTGAGATATATCAAGATGTAGTTTTAAAAAAATTAGTAAAAATCAGGTGTGGTGGAGCATGCCTGTAATGCCAGTAGCTTGGGAGGCTGAGGCAGGAGGATCACAAATTCAGTCAGTCTCAGCAATTTAGTGAGGCCCTGAGCAAGTCAGTGAGACCCTATCTCAAAATAAAAAAAAAAGAAAAGGGCTAGGGAAGTGGCTCAGCAGTTAAGTGCCCCTGAGTCCAATACCTGGTACAAAAAAAAAATTCTTTGATAAAGTAAGATTTTAATACACAAGTCATAGTTATAGTAATCTTACTATAAAATCACCTCTCAAACAAATGGGCTATTCAGAAGAAGGCTTGGAGTGATCTGGAGGGGTGGGCAAGGGTCAGGATTTTTCCTAATTTGAAGAGATGATGACTTGTCAGTTTCCTTACAGTCATGTCACTTAGCCTCCTGCTCTTTTTATTCCAGCTGAGGGATAAAGAATTAGGCCAAGACTGGAAAGAGAGCGCGTCTGTGAAGATGGAGCACCTTCCATGAAAGGAGGTGAGTGCAAGTAGTTCCAGGGATACAGGGTGGGAGAATGAGGCCCATCTAGGCAATGAGGGACCCAGATGGTTAAAAAGATGTCTAATCCCAGGGATTAAGGTCAAAGATGAGATGTCACTCAGTAGCTCCAAAGCATGATCCGGTGAGTATAACCCAGATGTTTCTATTTTAAAAAGTTAAGTCATGGGGCTGGAGTTGTGGCTCAGCTGTAGAGCACTCACCTAGCACATGCGAGGCGCTGGGTTCCATCTTCAACACCACATAACAATAAATAAAATAAAGGCATTGTGTCCATCTACAACTAAAAAAATATTTTAAAAAAGTTAAGTCAGGGAAAATCTTCTGTTCGGACCTAATGGAATATGGTTGCTCTACTCACAACACTTAGGACACCAAATGTGTGGGTTTTCCACACCAGGAATTTCTCCTATTCACTTCAGACACCAACAGCACATCAATGATTCAATTCAATTCTAACTTTCCAGATTTATGGCATACCCCACAGGTTGGAGTTCAATCCCACAAGACTGTCCCCCACTTTAGATGCCATTGCAAACAGCGTATTATAGATGCTTCTGTACAGTTTGGCTCTATGACCCATTCCCCTCCTCTGGTTCAAAAATTTGCTGTGACTGCTCACAGAACTCAGGGAAACATGAATACTAGTTTATTATAGGGGATTTTATAAAGGATATAAATAAACAGTCAGATGAACAGGTATGCAGGGCAAGATCCAGAAGGGTCCAGAATGTTTTGGACCCATGGAGTTTGGGATATGTCACCCTGTTGGCTAGTGGATACATTTACCAACCCCAAATGATCTCCCAATCTCTTTTTTTAGGGTTTTTATGTAAGTTCCATTTTGTAGGTATGGTTAATTAACTGGTGTTTGCCTTAACCTCCAGCCCCACTCTATCCCTGGGAATGGGGGTGAAAGATCTACCCTTTCAATCACATGGTAGATTCCTCTGGCAACCAGCCCCCATCCACCAAGTGTCCTCAGCATAGACTCAGGTATGGTTAGAAATGGTTTGATATTAATGACAAAAGATGTTTTCTTACTCTTATTTCTTTAGGAAATTTCTATTGTTTTATTTAGAAGCTGTTTCGGGAACTGGGGAAAAGGACCAAATATATATTTCTTATTATATCATAAGACAGGATAAGAAGCAAAACTGTTAAGATGAGCAAGTACTGACAGGAATAAAGATCATGTGTTCTGGGCTGGGGCTGTAGCTCAGCGGCAGAGTGCCTGCCTAATATGCATGAAGCACTGGGTTCAATCCTTAGTACCACATAAAAATAAACAAATAAAGTAAAGGCATTCTGTCCATTTACAACAAAATAAATAAATAAATAAATAAATAAATAAGCTCATGTGTTCAAAGGGACCAAATTATTTGTATGGTTTTAAATTTCTTTTATCCTGAATTTCAGGCTTAGGGATGTAGCTCAGTAGTAGAGCACTTGAATAGCAGCATGAGGGCCTGGGTTCAATCCCCAGCACCACAAAATAAAAAAACAACAACAAAGAAGCAGCATCTAGGAAGGCTGAGGTAGGAGGATCACTTGAACTCAGGAGTTTGAGACCAGCCTGGATAGGGTTAACACAGTGAGATTCTGTCAAAATAATAATAATAATAATAATAATAATAATAATAATAATAATAACAACAACAACAACAACGACTACAACAATAATAATATAGTTATTGAGATTTTTATGATAAGCATTGTCCATGGATAATTTTCTATTTATATCATTCAGTTTAGTAAAAACTTCTTTTATACAAAAAGAAAAACTGAATTGTATGCTAAATGTTCTGAGAGGTATGTATGGGGAAAGTCAGTGGGAATATAGCAGTTTCCTGACCCTCACCTTATATTTGAAAGTTACATTTGAGGACTATATTTTTTTCTAACCATACGATTTATTTTTATTTTTTTTTTTAGTCATACATGACAGCAGAATGTATTTTGACATATAATACATACATGGAATGTACATACGAGAATTATATTTTTTTCTATACATACAAATTTAAACATATTTGGTTTAATTTATAAAATAGGCATAGAAAGAGATTAACAATAATAAGTCATAACAAAACAACAATTATAAGAAAAGTTAGGTGAATGTGCTCTCTTTCTCTCTTGAAATATCTTATTGTACTTTTACCTTTTCACTTAAAGCTGCACTTTGCAGCTTCTCTTTGGCATATTTGAATTACCAGCATCACTACTCTTGTGGGGCCACTATTAAGCAAAATGGGTCTTATTGAGCACGCTGAGATACAGTAACAGATAAGGGGGCTACTGTATATTATTTAATACAAGACTCTATTGTCTCTGTTAGTGGCAACTACACAAATTGCAGGCATAGTGATCTTGTATGAAAAGAAATAACCAGCCTTGCAAATCAACCTACTAAGCTGCGCTAAACATCCAATTGTGGCGGGAATTGGTTGGTAACCACTTTAAATCAAGAACGGAACACATTATGTTATAATTGTTTATTTCTCTTTCTTTCATTATGTGAGAGCAGGGACTCTATTTCATTTATTTTAAGTTATATAACTAGAACCTAACACTGTATGACACATAGTCGGTTTTCAAGAAAAATTATTAAATGAATGAATAACTCTGGTGAGGGGAGAAGTAGAAAGGGAGAAAAGCCAAGAAAGAAAATGGAGAAAACTGAATTGTAATTATTTTCCAAGAATCATCCTTGGCATGGGTGACTCCATCTAGAATGGCATATTAAGTAACAAAGAGTGTCTTAATTTCAGTTTTCCCAAATTGTAGATTTATCTTTCCATTGATGGCATGTTTCTTAAAAACAATGTTAGATATTTGAATGATACGTTCCTTTTTAGTCTAGGACTAAGACTTTGGAGAAAATATGTGGAGTTTCAGTTCAAAATATATTTTAATCACCTAAAATTCATCAAATAAAATAAGACTATTGCCTCTAGGGAACCCTTGGCATGCAGTACTACTGTCCATTTGATAATAGAGTGGGTAATGTAGCACCTTTCTGAAAGTGCCTATTTAATTCATCTGAATTAAGTGGGAATAACTGACAGAAGAGTTTTAACCACAGAGGTAAAGTAACTGTCTGAATTGCAAAGCCAAGAATGAGTCTAGGTTAATGGACACACATTAAGAAAGGCACTGCAAAGATGTGAAGCAGGGACCTTGAAAAGGATCAAGGATTAGTGCTTTAAAATCGTGATAGCACACAGAAAAAGGCATTAGGAACTTACAGCCATTTTCTAAAGTAACCATTCTCACCCTGAGTGCAAAGGATGCCTTTCAGCGGGAGTGGCTTTTGCCATTGCCTGGTGCCAGAGAGCTGAAGCCTTGGCAGTCAGCTGCACACAGCTTCTTCCCTGCAGGAGTGCCAGCAAGGAGAGGCTTCCAGAGCATGTCTGCACAGGAGACCTGAATGCTTAGGCTCCTTAGGTTCTAAATAAGGAGATTCATTCTGACTAAGAATCCTCCTTAGTCAATCCTTGATGAGTACAGAGATGGCAACCCTGTTGATTTCATTATGTTATTTAAAAGACTGTGCTGAAGAAAATGTTAATTGGTCCCCATGACTGATGATATGAATGATATGCATTATACCATAAGAAAAGGTCAATTTTTGCATACCTCATATTATCATCAATCCCTCTATTTTGTATACTATCAGCTTGACCTCTTAGGCCCTCCCAGAATTTCAGGATCCAGTTTCAGACATCAAAGAAAAAAAGTTTAAGAAGGATTATTTTTCAATGACAAGTAAATGAATAAAATAGTTCGGCAAATGCACAAAATTTTTAGACAGTAAATAAATAGAAGGTTGTTTTAAAGTGCAGTCCACCTGGAGAAGTAGTCTGGAGATAAACACAAGAGCAAGAAGGATGGTTGAAAAGGAGAAGAAATTTGGACAGGATATTCTTCAACCCTGTGTCTCCAAGTGTGGTCTGTGGACCAGTGCTGTCCACAGCCCCTGGCAGAAATTCAGTCCCTCTCATTCCCCTAACTGACTGAATCACAATCTGAATGTTGATTCTCAGGTGATTTATATGTACACTGAGGTTTGAGAGCTTAGTTGGCTCTTGGAGACCTGAGAGGCAGGGATCTGAGAAAACCTGCATTCTATGGGGGTTTTCAAACTTTTCTATATATGAAAAATTGTTAAATAGGCAAGTTCAGGGCCCAGATCAAAAAGATTCTATTTCCATGTGCTTGTGTGTACCTAGAAAATTTGTATTTCTAATAAATTTCCCAGGGCTTCAGATACTTATGGTCACTGACAACACTTTAAGAAACCTCTGCCATGGATATCAAGATCTCACAAAGGAAGGGAAAATCTATTGAAACAGTAGGCCTTAAAAGCCTTCCTCCTCAGAGTACAGAAATGAAGTCTCCTGTTTGAGACAGGAGAAATGGTTACAGGACTCCACGTCCTGCTCTTTCTAACTTTATGTTGTAGTCACACTGAACTCTTTGTGCTTTCCTCAACTCACTGCATGCTTTGCTATCCTGTTTTCTCTGCTCTGGTTTCGCAGTCAGAAGGGCCAAATTTGGATCATTGTGTAAGGCATGTACAGTACTAGTTTTGTGACCTCAGGCAAGCGATTCACAATCTCTGACACTTGGATTCCTCATGTGCAAAATAGGCCCTGTAGTACGTGCTTTGTGGGGTTATTGCCACAATTACAAGAGAAATGGCCTGTGTAAATTATGTAGCATATTATACAGCATGTAGCAGACATGTTTTTTTATTCTTTTCAGGCTTTAAGAACTACTTTTTTTCCTCTAAAACTTAGTTGTTCTTTGTAGGGTTCCTTGACAATCTCCCCTTGCTGCGCTCTCAGAGTACTTAAAACATTTCTCTTTGTGTTTCTTTTGACAGGTTGTTATTAGTTTGTTCTCTCTCTACCAAACTGTGAGCTCATCAAAACAAACGACAAAAGCAAACCCTATTTTATCCCTCTGTAGTTTTA